CCACGCCCCCTGAAGACCAAATGGGGGCAAGAGTGATAGCCCCTCACCCCCCAGGCCCACTAGACCCTGCCTGCCCGTTGCCACTGGGTCAGATAAGAGCCCCCACCCCTCCCCTAACCAATGGCCACAGCCTGGCTGGGCCCACAGCACAGTGCATATAAGGGGACCCTGGAGAGTAAGCACCACCAGGCCAGTCCTGAGTGTGTCTAACGCCAGTCCACCTGCCCACTGTACCACCATGTCTCTGACCAAGTCTGAGCGGGCCGTCATCATGTCCATTTGGGACAAGATGTCCACGCAGGCTGATGCCATCGGCACTGAGACTCTGGAGAGGTAAGAGCCAGACAGGATGCGCCGAGTGACCAGATCGGAGGCCAGGGCAAGGGCGGTGGTAGGGGTCAGTAAGAGAGGACAGTGAGGACGAGCAGTGAGCTGGGGCCAATGAGAAAGGCTCATTGAGGAAAGGTCAGGAGGAGGGGAGAAGGAGAAGTCAGTGAGGGCCAGGGATTAGCTCAGTGGTGCTGCACCTGCCTGGCAAGCACAAGGTCCTGAGTTCGATTATCGGTACTTAAAAAAAAATGGCCAATGAGGAAGGGTCAGTGAAGAGGGTCAGTCGGAGCAGCAGGTATGAAGGGACGATGCAAAGAGGTCAGTAGGAGAGGTAAAAGGCGGGCATGAAGGCACGCGCTTGTGATCCAGCACCTACGTGGCTGGAGAGGGAGGATCACAAATTCAAGCTCAGTGTGGACTACGTGGGGAGTTCAGGCCAGTCTGTACCGCAAATTAACACCGTGTCTGAAAAAAACAACAGAAGGAAGGGGTCCGCGGGAGGGTCAGGAGCCATGGTGGGGTGGAGAGGGCTGTGGAAAGTTTCAGAAGGAAGGTCGCTGAGGAAGGGTCGGTGAGGAAGAGGCGTCAGGAGGGGTGACCAACACGGAAGAGACTGAGAAGAGAGGACCGGGGGTGGACAGGAGGGGCCGCGAGGTCAGTGAGCTGCAGGGCTGGTGAGCGGACAGGGAGGGCAGCTGGAGGTGGGACCGCATCTCACCCAGCTCGCCGACCCCAGCCGGTAGCAGGCTGAGCCAGTGCATGAACGAATAAATGATGGGCACTGGGGCAGTCCACGCTGTGCCGCGCTGGAGCCCGGGCACCCGGAAAACTAGGCAACACCTGTGCCGTCTTTCTTTAAAGCTTTAATGTTCAACATAAATAGTTTTGCATTCATGGAAGATTTCATTAAAATATGACTTTAATTTATCACAATAAGTGACTGACTGATGACGTATTTATGGGCGGAACCTGACTTCTGGGTTTCGGGAAATCTCTACGTTTAAGGCTAAAAAGCTCTCGGGGTCTGGGCGCTCCCCGCACCCTCCAAAGCGAGGCCCCGAGGCTCACGCTTCCCCCTCCCCCAGGCTCTTCTCCAGCTACCTGCAGACCAAGACCTACTTCCCCCACTTCGACCTGCACCCGGGGTCGCCTCAGCTGCGCGAGCACGGCTCCAAGGTGGTGGCCGCCCTGGGCGACGCCGTCAAGAACATCAACAACGTGGAGGTCGCGCTGACCAGGCTGAGCGAGCTGCACGCTTACATCCTGCGCGTGGACCCCGTCAACTTCAAGGTGGGTGGTGTGCGGGGTGGGTGGGGACAGACGGGCTGGGGCTGGTCTGCCAGGGCCTCAGTCTCACACTCACACACACACACCGCACACGCACACACTCACACGCGCGCACACTCACCCCTCACCGAGACCTGAGGCGCCCTCCCGCCCCCGCAGCTCCTGTCCCACTGTCTGCTGGTCACGCTGGCCGCGCACTTCCCCGCCGACTTCACGGCCGAGGTCCACGCCGCCTGGGACAAATTCATGTCCCTCGTGTCCTCCATCCTGACCGAGAAGTACCGCTGAGGCCGCCGCCAGAACCCGGCACCCGCTGCGACCGCTGCGCAGCCCCAGCCCTCCCGCTCTCCTCCCCGGAACCCCAATAAACGGATGAGGCCGGAACAACCGGGCCCTGCGTTCTCTGTCCTGGGGACCACGGGAGAAGCTCAGGGGTGCGCGGGGCCGCCCACCCGCGGGAGCGTCTTCCGGGAGCGCCTCGCCCTGAGGACCCGGGACGGGC